AAGAGGAAAACAAATTATTGAAAGAGCAACAGAATGGTCAAGTTGCTCAAATTGAAGTTAAAGAGACTAAAAAATGAACTTGATTAAAATTAAGGAAATAATTTTTTCAGAATGCTTCTAATACTGCTGTAATTCTTTGGTTCCATGGTGGATTTAATGTAAATTAGTTTCATATATATTATTTTTATATAGGGATAATCCTATATTGCTCCTGTTATGGTTTATATTCCTCACATTCTGGTATGATAAAGTGAACATTAAAAGTAATAAGTTTATAAGTTATGAATGAGCACCATTATTACTTTTCAAAACATCATCAGTCATACACTGGTCAATTTTACAGCCACTTCATAATCAGCCTCTCATTTATGTTACATAATAAAATGTTCACTTTGTCTGGTTTTGTTGCAGTCTGCCCCACATAATCAAATCAAATGTTCACTTTGTCTGGATTTGTTGCAGCATGCCCAAATTCTGGACTGGCCATCCAACAAAACCCAATTGAAAACTTATGGACAATTGTAAAGAGAAACATGTTAGTGATTTGGAACAATTTATGGTTGAAGAGTGGAGTAGTATCCCAGATAACATTCTAATCAATCTTGTAGAATTGATGCCCCAATGTTGTCAGCTTGTAATTGAGGAAACAGAGAACATATTACTTTCTTAATTCACTTCTCGAAAACTGAAAACAGTGTCTTCAACAGTATGTCAATATGTCAAACCCTATTTCCAACGGTATTTCCAGAACCATTTCAACTGGTATTGCCAACGGATTTTGAAATGGTGTGGACGTATCCCAATCCATTGAGCTCATCAATAAGTCGTTCAACCTTTCGCCTTTGCTCTCGACTTCACCTTCTCGTATCTCTTCTCTGCCAGGTATCTCGGACCAACTCGAAATAAACGCTTCCATATCCTCGCCTGACCAAATGGTATTCCTTTGGATCTGTGAAGGGTCAACAATTGAGCCAATAATTTGATTCCTGTCGATATTGTCTGTCTCCGATATGGTAGCATGTTGGTTCCGTTGGTGTTGATGTTTTTGGTATTTGTACTGTTGATTCTATTCATATTTAATCAAAGTCTTTGAAAAATAACAAATTTCGTGTTTGGATGGTAGATTTTTCGATCCGGAAATAGGCGCCAGTGCAATACTATGGTATTAGGTGGGTAATTCATAAATATGATGCGATCTTAGTTATGGAAATTATCTGGGTGATGCCGAGATTTCACTCGCATCCAGGAATTGAAATCAGTAAATTGAAAGCCAATTATTATATCAATACTTTTCCTATAGGGTATGTATAGATTTATACAAAGAAAATTTTTACTGTATTAGAAAAATGATAACCTATCATTATTTTATCTGTAAAGCGAACAAAGGACTAGGGAATATCGTCTACCAAAATACGTGTCGAGATATTATGTTTTGTCATACCACAATTACTTTGTGCATTAGTATCCTGTTGCGTATCAACGAATCAATCTTTTGTCAAGAATAACCATCACAACTGCCGACAGCTTCATAGAGAACGTAGGTACCATCATTCCAGACAATAAAAGTATAGTTATTCTCTCCACTCATTAAAAAGCCATGCTCTTGTTTAGTCCATGACATGGGTGAATCTGCAAACCCACATACTGTCAAAGCTGCCCACGGAATGTCCATCGACTTTACCAGATCACTACGAGAGAAAACGAAAGAGTTTACTAAACATTGAGATTAGGAGGAAATGATGTGAAACATCAATGACAAAGAATACTCGCAGTGTATTTTGCAAGATAGAAAATATCGAAGCCGATGAGATCAATCCCGTCCATTTGATGAGTGACCCATTGCCAGAATAATATGGATCAGGAGGTTTATAGAGCGAGACATATGAATCCACATTGTCATTGGAGTTAATTCTAATAACGTAGACAAATGTATATATCGATGTGAGCATATATGAAATCTGTGCATATACAAGCTTTTTTATTTCATACCTATCCGCTTGTAATGATGCCATTCCAATCCAATCATACACCTCGATCGCTCTGTATTTCCAGTAACCATTTGTTGGATTCTTTATCAAACTAATGTCAGGCATCAATATATTCGACATTGATTGTAATGACGATTGTGCAGTGAATTTCTGGGACTTGAATGCTGACGGAAACTTTATTTCGGATGGCTTCTTGGTTGCTATACACGTGTGAATATCAGTTAATGAACTTGGTTATAAATCGAATCTTAGTATGTTGATACTCACTTGCATTGATATACATTATTACAAATGGAAATGAATCAACAAGAGTGTGTTCAAAGCACCATTTTATCCTTTCGTAAAATTTCTTGCCTGAACTCATTGCCTTGGCCGATAATTGGAGCTCAATCACTAGTGTAAAGTAATGACTTGGTTACGCAATGAGTCTCATGTAAAGTTCACAAGTCCAAAATTAAATTGCAGATATGAGGGTTTGTTAGCCATTCAAGTCATTTACCAAATCTTTGATTTTTGGATCCAAATTTAGCTGCCTTTCCCGCAAGTCCAAGTGATTCATACGTATCTTTTGTGACGTTTAATGTCAGTTTGCCTACATGTCAAAGTTCAATCAAATATTCAATTAAAAGAATTCCTAATTTATCCAGGCTCCGTCCGCCCTCCGTCCACCCTTATCATTACCATTCCCGTCGATAGAGAACACGTCTGAGATATCTATTCCTTCAGTCAAGCTTAATGCAATGACCTGACCTACACCCAGTCTTAAGAATTAGCCAACATTTCAGCATCCCTCAATTTAAAACCATCATCATGAGTAACTAATGAACAGACTCGAACTAACGAACCTTTGTTAATATACTCGTTAATAAACGATTCGTCGATAAAATATGATAATGGCAAATTGACTTTATAATAAAATATCTCGCCCGTTTTCCATAGATTTATGTTCTCTGAAGAAACAACAGTTGGTAGGAATATATCCACATGATGATTGAATGGATGGCCAAATATGATGTTGCTATGACGAGATCTAGAAGAGGGAAATGACGAACGGGAGATATACAGTTTGGATCTAAACGGCTCCATTTAGGAAATGAATCGAAGCAGCTCAAGTAGTCTTTAATAAATGTCACGAGATATCTCACGTGTTAAAATTATTTATTATTATACAATTAAAATTCTGCATGTTCGCCTAGTGCTAGTATAATATCTCCTACAGCCTATGGCTCCGAAAATTTAATAACATTTCGGCATAGGTTCCTCCTCTTTAGTAAAATAATATTCAGGCTTATAGCCGTGCAAGTGCGTTGATCCTCTAACGAACATATTAACCTCTTAGCGTACATCGTCATCAACAGATCTACTACCAAACCGTCTCTATGATTATAGAAAATACCACGAGAAGTCTCATAACTATAGTTGGATTTTTTTAAGCTCGCTTTTAATCGCCAAAGTATCGGTTAGAATAAATGGGCAACAAAAAGAACTAATTGGACGTAGACTACACTATTCCTATGTACAGTAACGTGCAAAAGTATCCTACCGGTTGTATCATCTAAACGTACATAATAATAACTCCTTAAATTTTCC